TGAGCTTAGCCCAGCTCAGCATCGAAGACACCGTCGATAACATTCAGTAACAACATCCTGAAGCAATGGGCAATGTTTTGGAAATCAATTGGTACAAGTATACCCGATGACAAAGTTGCATAGCGCCGGCAAAGCGTGTCCCTATAAACGCGTTCGCACCGATACACCGATACACACACTTATAGAATTGCGTACTGACTTGAAAGCGATTTGCCACACGCCGGCCTGAGTTAAAATAACATGAGATACCAGGAGGACAAACAGTAAGTTAAAGGCCATCGCTTTTAGGTTGGAGGCCATCGCAAGGAAGTTGGAGGCCAACGCCTAAGGTTGGAGGCCGTCGCTAGTAGGTGGTAGGTAGTACGAACAAGCAAAACAAAAGTGACAAGTAGTAAGTTAAAGGCCATCACTTTTTTGGTTGGAGGCCATTGCAAGGAAGTGGGGGCCAACGCCTAAAGGTTGGAGGCCGTCGCTAGTAGGTGGTAGGTACTCTGCACAAGCAAAGCAAAAGTGACAGCGAGCAGCAAGGTTGGAGGTCGTCGCTAGTGGGTTGGAGGCCATAGTACCAGGTTGGAGGCCAGTGCTACAAGTTTACAAGAAGCACAAGGAACACAAGACACACAAGACAGCCAAGGTTGGAGGCCAATGCTAGTGGGTGGAGGCCAAAGAATTCAGGTTGAAGGACCACATTACAAGTTTGGAGGCCTACCTGCAAACCTATAGGGTAGAAGAGAAGAAAAACAGAAGGAAAGGCACCGACCATCCGGCCGCAAAGGTCTCCGGCGTCAATTTCGCCAGCTTCATTGACCAGGCGACGATGTATCTGGCCTGGTCTCCTGTAAACACTCCAAAAGGAGCCTTGTGACTCCAAAGGTTACACACACACCCCCCCCGAAAGGTATGTGTGGCCTCCATCCTGCCCGGAAAGGAGGCGCCCGCGTCCTGCCCTGAAAGGGGGTTATGCGAAACACATGTGCGCGCAAAGGAGACAGATGAAAATGAGAAAGACGAGACAGACAAAAAGTGTGTGTGGTTGCCAATGAAGAAAAACCTAGTGAAGAGGGACAACTGTAACAAACCTGGGCCACCTGAACCTTGTTGTAAGTAGAATACACGTGCGTGTATGTGTACAAGCTAAGGTCCGGACGAAAGTGCGCACAAGAGAAGGAAAGGATGAGGATGAAGAGACATGAAGACAGAAAGACATGAAAGAAAAGAAGGGAAGACGTCTGTGGGGGCCAATGAAAGGGGAACCAAATGAAAGGGGACAAACCGAAGACAGACCAAACCTCATTGAGAAACCTGTTGCAGAAGCCTTGTTTGCTTGTAGGCACGCCGCGCGCGAGGAAAGAGGGGGGGAAGGGGAGGAAGAAACGAGAAGGAGAGAAAGGAGGAAACTAACGTGCTCCCGGCTACGACGCAAGCGTCCAAGGACACACCAAAAAGGAAGGGCTCCCAGCTATGACGAAAGCATCCAGGGACACCCATGGAAGAAGGAAGGTGAAGACCTAGATGACAAAGAGGGGAGAGAGGAGGGGAGGGGAGGAGGAAGGGGCAAAGGTCGCGACAGACTCCAACAACACCAAGCTTCGGGCGCTGCGGCCACGTACGCCGTGCCAAAATGGCTGGCTGCTCAGACCGCTCCGGTCACCTAACGGCGTGCCCGAAGGCTGCCTGCTTGTACTCAATAATTCAGCAAGTCTTGGCAAATGACTTTGGCCTAAGCCTACTTCGCCCGCTCTGGGCACGTACATCTCCGGGCAGGGGAGATAAAGACCAACGCCCGTTCGACGGGTCCGCAGGGGCCACTCTTCGGGGTCACCCTGGGCTCTCGCGAGGAGAGACACACTTATAGAATTGCGTACTGACTTGAAAGCGGGTTGCCACATGCCGGCCTGAGTTTAAAAACATGAGATACCAGGAGGCCGAATAGTAAGTTAAAGGCCATCACTTTTAGGTTGGAGGCCATCGCGCGGAAGTTGGAGGCCAACGCCTAAGGTTGGAGGCCGTCGCTAGTAGGTGGTAGGTAGTACGAACAAGCGAAACAAAAGTTACAATTGTTTTTCTGGTTGGAGGCCATTGCAAGGAAGTTGGGGCCAACGCCTAGGGTTGGAGGCCGTCACTAGTAGGTGGTAGGTACTATGCGCAAGCAAAGCAAAAGTGACAGCGAGCAGCAAGGTTGGAGGTCGTCGCTAGTGGGTTGGAGGCCATAGTACCAGGTTGGAGGCCAGTGCTACAAGTTTACAAGAAGCACAAGGAACACAAGACACACAAGACAGCCAAGGTTGGAGGCCAATGCTAGTGGGTGGAGGCCAAAGAATTCAGGTTGAAGGACCACATTACAAGTTTGGAGGCCTACCTGCAAACCTATAGGGTAGAACTGAGGAAAAACAGAAGGAAAGGCACCGACACACAAGTGTGTCGAGTACCATTTCCTTCTGTTCTCCTAAATAGTGGAGCAGCTACGTGGAAATGGCGTCCCATTTCCATATCCTCAGATACATCGCCAGCTTCATTGACCAGGCGACGATGTATCTGGCCTGGTCCCCTGCTTTAAAGGGTAACACTCCAAAAGGAGCCTTGTGACTCCAAAGGTTACACACTCTGACATTGGTTTGCTGTTAACTCAATTCCCACGATGAGAAGGAAGGTGATGGAACAGCAAGGTGAAC